CACACCGGAAGGGAAAGTGAATCTCCCAAAGGAAAGGCTTTGGCCGAAGTTCCCCTTTAAGCCCCTCCCCCGTCCTCCGTCTTATCTCCCATCTGGAAGTTTCCCAGCGTTGGGCGGCTCTGCGCGGTCACCTTTCCCCCAATCCGGACGTGGCTGCCCCCTCTTCCCCCCCCGGGGGGCGGTTATAATTAATGGCGGAGTTGCAGGATTTTTAATGATCTCTTTGTTGCCTCCGACTCCGGGAACCGTCACTCCGAGCTCCTCAAATCATCATAACCGGGGGCCGGCGTTAGGAGGGGGCGCATACCCCGGGCCCCAACATTCCCCGGGCCCCTCTGGTGACATAACAGCACCAGGTAGTGGGAGCTAAAACAGTGCATATGGGGCCCCCACTTTATATAACCCTCCCCGGGCCCCCAGTTAGAATGAAGGCAGCAGGTAGTGGTAGTTGGACCATTATGCATATATGGCCCCCACTTTATATTTGCTCTGGGCCCCTAGTTGGCATAACAGCACCAGGTGGTAAGAGCAGGAACACTGCATAGGGGGCCCTCACTTTTTATATGCCCAGGGCCCCAATCCTCTTAGGGCCCCCATTTGGCATAACAGCACCAGGTGGTGGGAGCTAAAACACTGCATTTGGGGCCCCCACTTTATGTTTGCCCAGGGCCCCAACCCTCTCTGGGCCCCAAGTGGAATGAAGGCAGCAGGTACTGGTAGCTGGACCACTATGCATATGGGGCCCCACCTTTAATATTTGCTCAGGGCCCCAACAACCCTCCCTGGGCCCCAAGTTGGCATAACAGCAGGAACACTGTGCATATGGGGCCCCCCAACTTGAATTTCCCAGGGCCCCAACCCTCCCGGGACCCCCCATCGGCATAATATAGAAATCATGAGTTTGTCCCGTGCAGTACATGAGGCGCCAGAATCCGTCTCCTATGAGAGGCCGCGGGATTGGCTGTGCCGGGTCACGTGACACAAAGGTGACAATGTTGTCGGGATCAGCGAAAAATAAGAACGTTCCCATTGTTTATACATACAGGTGACACGCGTGCTTCTCCCGTCATGTATGACACCTTCCGTGTACTCTCCCTGACGCCATCTTTACTTCTCACAGGTTTGGGAAGTTCTTCGAGTTCCCGTTATTGCTGCAGAGCGTCCTCATGATCGGCGCCATGCTCGCCATCCTCCACCTGTGCTGCGCCACCCAGACCGCCAACCGCGTCTCCACCAAACAACGCAACTTCACAGGTGAGGCGGGGTCACCGAC